TAATTATTTTATATAATTATTTTATAGAATATATAATTATTTAAATCATTGTCAAATGATTTAAAAACAAGCAAAAAAAGGTTTATTTTACACAAGTAAAAAATAATATTTACCGCTCCACCAGTGCCTGATGTCTCTCCCAGACCTCCTGCTCCTCTCAGAATTGGGTTGACATCCTCTCGCACAAGACACTCGCGTAAAACACCCGCGAATAATATATTATAATCGCGCGGACTATAATTTGAGTCCGATAACTTGAACGGCACTCCCGAAGTAAGACGCGCGACGCGACGAACCGGCTACGATTCGTTCATTTTCAAGTAAATCGGCAACGAAGATACGTTAGCTTCCCCGTTGGATTTTTACACGAAGAGAAACGATTTTACTTAATATCTAAAAAAATTATCTAGATATATCATTTAGATAGATCCGAAAATTTTTAGATATTTGAGAAAAATCGTTATTTTCGTGTAAATATCTTCTGAGTACTGAGCCTTCCCACTACGTCAAGGTTGTACTCGTGAGAGAGAAAATAATCTAAAAAATGTAATATGTAGCTATTATCTATATTACTATGCAATCGATTAACTTTTAGAAACGAATGCAAACACACATCTGCAATTCATTGCGAAATAAATTCAGAGCAGATAAAAGGGTTGAATCTTTGTTTTATATAGATGATATCTGTAAGATATGACAGAGTCAATGAAATGAGCTAGAGATTAATAAAAAAGAGAAATGTTTCTTTTATTAGCGATAAATAGTTTCAAAGTTACGTTTAATTTTTAAATGAATCATATATAACATATAAAAGGTGCACAAAAGCAAAAAATTAATTAAATTATTAAATTATATTAATTGTGAAAATTGTGTTATTTGTATGAGAGTATTCATATTAATATTGCTTTTTTATTACTCGTGTGATATCATGCAGATGTGAAGTAGTCATATCGACAAGTAGCGTGCCGCTTTTCTTCACATTTCTTTTTGAAACATATAATATATAATCGCAAAAAATGCTAAATATGAAATGTTGTAATTTATAAATTCACATAATATGATTACTAATATTAAATATAATTAATTATTCATAAAGTACAATGTTTTTCGTATTATATTTGGCATTCTTCGCGATAAGATTTTAAAAAATAATGTGAAAAAGAGCCGCACGCAACACGACTATCTGTTTGTACGAATCTCGATAAAGGAATAACTGCGCCATAAACGTGCCGATCCGTGTCACCCAGTACCATTCCTACTCCAAGATCACGCGCCAAACCGTCTAACTGTCGAAATAATAATGAGTATTATGAATAAATAAAATAATATATTCTTTACATTTTTATGTTCTCCGATTAATGAAACAATTTCTTATATCTAATTTTAGCGGATCACTTAATGATATCATAATTATATTATGATACATCGAGGAACATATTTGACGTTCATTTTATAATTTTAAATATTTCGTATCAATTATAATGTGCTGACCAAAGGCAAGAAATAAAGAAACATTTTTACTAGTGTGATTTTTCTTTTACATAATTGCTCACGTGAAGTGTTTTTAAGATCCCAACATTATATCTTAATTTTCATTGTTCTTTTTCGTGATTTATGATTAAATAAAGATTAATAACATGTTATACATCCTTTAAATGCAAGATAAATGCAAAATTTATTTTAAATTGTGAAACAATTTCGACTAAATAGAATAATACGTATAGCATGCACATATATTTAGAGATATGTAATTTAAATATAATTTATTTTCTCCCATATCATAAGAATGCGGAGTAACACGAAAATGACAGAATTATATATTCAAAGTGATAAAAAGCCACAATTTGAAATATCTAACAATAAGAATCTCATTTTTACCATACATGTGAGAACCCATAAAATATCTAAAATTCATTCTGTGTATGTGAATACACGTAATGAATCTAAGAAATAAAGCAAAAACCGTGCAACAAAATTTATTAACCTTTAATGTACTCCATTTTAGGCAACCTTATGTAATTCGTCGATATCTAATTTTCATTAATTAATGCGACGCCCGGAACGACTTGTAAAACACGTCCGACTCTCTCCGAGATCGCCGAGCGAATACCGAAGTGATGACGTAGTCCATCACTGCGTCGCGCTTGACACTCCCCCTCCCCTCGCTGTTCGTCGTTCGGATACCCAACTGTCGCGTATGAAAAATATTCATAGTTTATTCAATTATTTGTATTTTACATGATTTTGACAAACGGGAACGCCACATTTCGCGTTTTGCTTAATGTGGCATCTCTGGCACAATCCTATATTACTTGTATGGTTCTTTCAAATATAATTAGTAATTATTCGCGTGGGATATTTTTGATTCCAATATTATGTCTCAATTTTCATTATTCTATGTAATGATTCATACTTAACTAAAGGTTGATAAAATATTCTATATATTTATATTCTTTATAAAAATACATGTAAATTTTCTTAATATCATAAAACAATTTGTGCTAAATACAGCTTTGGCTAAAAGTACTAAATATTTTGTTAATCATTATTTAATTTTCAGTTAATAAATTAATTTATTAGACATTACTATTACTGCAAATTATTCTGTGTTTCAGAAATTCTTTAAACTTACGTATGATGCCAATCATGACTCGATAAAATAATTTACGAATTATTTAAAATAAAAAATATAAAATAAGTTTCAGCAACTTATTTAAAATATAAAATCGTAGAAATCTGTAAAAAACATACAACTTG